TCGGTGATCCTGAACAATATTTGTGGCAGTGCAACTGTGAGGTGGCTATATAGAAACTATCTTCAAAGAATCACTTTTCTTGCTGTAAGACGCAGCAAGCCAAAACTTGCAAAGTGGATTATGACAAATAATGACATACCTTCTTGAATTAGTTCGATGTACATTGAAATCAACAGAGCTATCCATGTGATATTTTTTAATGGCTCGTACACAATCCTCCTTGGTACGAAACTAGTCTCCAACTTTTAATTCATTCTCTGACCATATATACGAGTTGTGAAACATGTCTGTGGATCTCTCATCGTCTTGCAAGTCCAAGTCTGTCATATGTTGAGGCGGACAATATGCATGACCTGGAGGTATTGACACTTGTTCGTCATCTTCAACGTTGTCGTTCAACAGTTGATCTACCAGCGTCTCACTTCCTTCTTCTTCTTCATCAACGGCGTTGATCTCCGGTTCCGTTTCATCTGAGTATTCTGATTCAGTTTCATCTGAGTCTACAACTGTTGATTAATCGATGATTTGAGACTGTTGAGATGGAATATTTTGTTGAAGGAACGTATACAACTCAATGTAGTTGAAATCAGAATGTCCGTGACTTAGGAACATATTTTCTACATCTTTATCATCTCTCGCTTTAAGTGGATAAAATTTAACGTGGTTGGTTTCGAAAAAAACTGGGTTTTGAAATATTATTTGTGCTATAGGACCAAGCCTTAATTTCGATTCCAATCTTTCTTTGAAATGCAAGAAACTAGTGTTTAATTGATTGTGAATCGGATAATGTCGGTGTTTTGAAAACCAAACTCAGATACATCAGAGACATATGTCTCTCCGTTGTAGTGGGTGTTAACAATATATCTTGGTGCAAATGACATGCTAAAAGAACTAACTAGAGACTTAGTAAAATTGCTTGTTTTGGTTTCTATCAATGTCTGCATGCATGTGAACATATTTATGTGCTTGGGACATGTATTAATTCACCACATTAATTGGCGGCAGAATTAATGAAGGCGCCACATGCATTGGCGACACAGTCAAAAGTAATTAGTGAGGGCGCCACTTGGTATGGTGACATGGTACATGCTTTAATAGACTCTGTCGCCATGTGGGTGACATCATGGTATGCATGCATGCCGCAACTTTCACCCTACGTGCATAGCTATTGAATCTACCAGGGGTCGCCAATTGGACTGACGCCCCTTTGTTAATGGTAAAGGCAGTCGCCAATTGGACTGACTACATGGTTCAGATGAATTTTTCACATGTGACTCTGAGTTCCATATATAAGAATGATAGATGCATGGATAAATGCATCATCTGATTCATACTCATTGCAGAGAGGTAATATCAAGTCTATTTGTGCCAGTATACCAGTTATCTGATTCACATTTAATCAGTCATAATGGCTTTGTTGACAATGGGTGAAACACATAGAGGCACTATCACAAATATTGTGACTTATGTAAGTGTTCATTTTTATTGTATATGTTAATTTTTATTGTCTCTTTATAATTTTTAATGACTCTTTTAATTTTTTTTATTTGACAATTATGTAGGAAGTCTCTAAGTTTCGGTGTCGTGCCCATGAATATGTTGCACCCGACGAATTAATTCAACCATATATTGAGCTTGCCGGTTTCGGACATGTAAGTAAAATCATATCTTACTCGGTTGATGCAAAGTTTATACTAGCTTTGCAAGAGAGATGGCGCCCAAAGACACACACCTTCTTTTTTCCAACCGGTAAATGTACCGTGACCTTAGAGAACGTGTACATGTTACTTGTTTGCGTATTGATAGTAAGGCAGTCAATGGAACAACAAACCTTAATGGTTCAATTTGTGAGGAACTTTTGCGTGCCGACTTGCTAGATGAGAACTCAAGAGGCCAAGGTATCTTACTTTCGCGCCTAAAATCACGGTACGCCAGTTTTATATTAGATGAAGGTTCTACAAAAGAAATGAAAATAATAAAAACCAGGTGTTACCTTATGCTTTTAATTGGTTTATTTTTATTTCTCGAGGGCACTGGTTCTTCTATGCACATAATGTATTTACCTTTATTGAGAGACCTAACTAAAACAAGAGAGTATAGTTGGGGCTCTGCTTGTCTGTCTTATTTATATAGCTCTTTGTGTAAGTGCGCAAAAAAAAAATACATCTACTTTTTTTGGATGCGCCGTTTTACTCCAATCATGGGGTTGGTCTAGATTGCCATCCCTAGCGCCCGTCAACCACAATGACTTTTCCTTTCCATATGCACAAAAGTAAGTTACTAACTTAATCTTTGTTTATTTCACCTTAATAATTATTATTTCTAACTAATTGAATTTGAACTGTTTGTGGTTTAAATGGTCGGCTAAGGGTATGGCTTACAATAGATGTTCTAGACATTGTATCATTCAATACTGCAATCTGTTGGATCACCTAACACCTGCAAATGCAAGGCCTCTAAACAAATCAATTTATATTTTATATCAACTATTTTATGATCTAATATTTTTCTCTTCTTCAGTTCATATGGCGTCCATATCTAAATATGACGTCCATATCTAAACATGGACCATCTACATGAAGTCAGAGGGAAAAATGCTGCCGTTTGGACTGCATACGTCCCGATCATCAGATTCACAACTATGGAGATGCACGACAGTTACCGTGTCAAACTACAATTTGCAATGCATCAAAACATTTCAGATCCTCTTGTTGACATCAGTAAATGACATCTAAAAAGAGTTAATGATCAATGGGAGTTTCCCGACTAGAAGGATTTTGCAAAATCTAAGCGTCGTAAATGGATGAACCGCAACACCCATGTCTTACATGACCTGGTGGTGGCAACCCCATATATACCAACTATTAATTATATGGCTTGGTACAGATCAGTTGCAACTGAGTTTGTCTCCGAAGACAGGTATTTATACGACCCACGCTAAACCGCTTACACATAAGAGACTTCAACGTCTAACCCACTAGAAAGACCATGTTACTCACAACCCCTACCTAACAGAGTTATCAACCCATTCACCATCCAAACATGCCAAACACCCAATCACAATATCAAGGGTGTCCCCCATACCATCTCCAACACACTGACTACTATCCAGAAACCCAATATGGCTATGGCCCCAACACAACATCAAGATATAGCCATAACGAGGGTGCATCATATTATAGCCATAACGTCCAAACATCTTTCCATAGCCAAAAAGCTCTGACATCACACCCTGGCTCACACACTCATCCATCTCAACAACCTTATGACTTTCAAACACCACTAACATTTTAACCTTTCACCAACGAATCATTCACACAAATGTCCCCCTTCAACCGTCCAGGCCATACACTAATGACCCCTTCATCACATCTGAACTACTCTGGAATGAGTCGCACACTCAGTTTCAACACATATGACTTAATGGAAATGCAAGAAATCCTTAGGAAACCATCAGGAAATGTTCTTGAGACTTCAACTCCTTAAACACCTGACGTGAATCAACAACGAGGGGGACGAGCACAACGAGTTAGAGTCCCTAGAGGATGTGGAACCGGTGGCCGGTATAAATGACCCGGTCGCCAATATTAGTTTATATAATAATTTTTTTAATTAATGATAATATTTATTTTTTTCTCTGACTTAGTTTATATAAACATAGATATATAAAAATTTTAAAAAGTAAATAATTATTTTTAATAATATTCATAATACCAACTATTTTATTAATCATTTTTATAATTATTTATTTTTCGTAAAAAAAATTCAAAATATAAGGGATATTCAGATGAATTGGCGACACCCTTTAAAATACATAACCAAGCCGCCAATTGGATTGTAGATTGCATGAGTTGTCTCCGGATCAATTGACGACACCCTTATGCCCTTAACAAAGGATCGTCAATTGAATTGGCGCCCTTGTGTAAGTCTAAACCCTACCTGAAATATTTTGAAAGTATTTTTAAAAAGTGAGATATTTTAGAAATTTTTTTCAAAAATTAAGTTATTCGAATAAAAAATTCTCTTTGTCATTTGGTGTTTAAAAATATTTTAGTGTTCTTACTTTAAAAAAGAAAAGTAAGTATTTCTCTTCTAAACTTAATTTGCAAGCAAACCGTAAAAGCTTGTTTGGGTGTTTAGGAGGGAAGATAACATTGGAAAAAAGTAGAAGGAAGTGGAATGTACAGTTGATTTTGGATGGGAGATTCGCAGAGTATTTTATTTATTTATTTTATATATAATACAATCTCTTTAAAGTGGAAGAACTAAAAAAAAATTTAAAGAAGCATTTTGGAATATTTAAAATGTACATTCTGATATGCAAGATCACGGAGATCCGTCTCAACCTCACCGGAAAAACCTTCACAATGGTCGTCATCAAGATATCAATAGTTGTATGCCCAATACGAAATAAGTATAATACGCGTAGATTCTTTTGTCTTGATCTAGAAATGTTTTTTAACGAAAATTATTTTACTTCACATATATTTAATTTGAAGGTCACCACTATCTCATAACTGACGATGATATCATTATCTTTGAAGTTGCCAAAATTCACTGGAAAGTGTAGACGGAAGCCATGACAACAACATCTGATCTTTCTATAACCAAACGGAAATTGAAGCGGAATTCGAGTGTAAATAACAAGATCTGGGAGATTATGTGCATGATATTTAAATATATTAGAAAAATACCACATTGATATAAATTTCATAAAACAAGGGACCATTTTGAAACAAATGAATGGACCCTATTGTTATAACTTTTGTGGTCCTTTTCAACAGCACAATTTTTCTTCTTCCATTCATTTATCAATTTATAGACTTCTACATTTCAGTCACCAATACAAGATACATGTCATGGATTAATCCTTACAAATTTCCTTTATTAGCAATCATGTACAGGTAAACTATATATAGGCAAAAAAAATTAATCAAAAGCAACAAAAAGTAATTCGTTGCTTCAATGTATGTTGTTAGTTTTTAGTATTGATTACTCAATTATGTTGAAAGTGCTAGCTCAGCCCAAGCTAAAGATTTGAGCTCCACGCTTATCGATGTGTCGATTCGGCTTTCCAGCATGCTGCATAATTCATGCATTGATGGACATACATTAGGGTCAGGACTAATACAAAGAGTTACCACCTCACATATTACTTTGAGATCATCGTATCCGAAATGCTTCAACTCGGAATCGACCAAATATGACATTACTTCTGGCATTTCAAGATAATCTCTCGCCTGCATCACATGTATATGAACGAGTACATGATTAGAGACTTGATCATGAAAGTATGGTCTTCATTCGAGAAAAGTGGTCAGAGTCAGAGTCAGTGTCAGGGCTAGTGCTCATATGCACGCTAGTAATAATAAGAATCATAATGAAATTTGAAGAAATTTCTTACCCAATCTACCAAGTATCCTCGATCCTGGCAATACGGAGATCTCCCACTGATAATCTCAAGTACAAGTACTGCAAAAGCATAAATGTTTCCTTTGGTATCAAGGTAGCGCGCTTGAAGGGAGTTTGGAAGAATACATACTGCACCCTGGCTGCTAACAGAACCGGAATTTTTCTCTGATCTTTCAAGAATCGTCTTCCAACTTTCAAAATCAACCAGCTGCAATTTAAAATTTTCATTTCAATGACAACAACAACATACAGCACATAAACATCAACGCATACTAAACAATTCTTATATACCTTGGGGGAAAAATCTTCTGTGAGGTATACGGCGTTTGAATTCAACTCTGAGATAGTGAATGGAGGATCAATTTCAGTGTGCAAATACTTCAGTCCACGAGCAATGCCTATGATAATTTTCATACGCCGTGTCCAAGATAACTGGAACCCTTCTTCATCTGCGGTCATAACTTCACGTTTTAAGGAATCGTAACACACGCAAAATACATATAAAATACTACTAGCTAAGAATCTCAACTTACAACAATGTAGGTGTTCATAAAGTGTTCCGTTTGACGCATAATCAAAAACTAGCATTCGTGTAAATGGAGCGTTTTCTCTACAATATCCTAGTAGTTTTCCCGTGTTTTCGTGGTTTAACCTTGCCAAATCTGCTACCTGAATGACACCGATAGAAGAAAAATTTATCGGTTTTATTTAATAACTTATCTCCCGTATATTGCATACTGCAAGCGTTGGAATGCACTATTTACCTCTCTCTGAAAATAAAGTTCAAGGTGTGCAGTCCAATTCTCTTCCTTGATGCATAGGGAAATTGCAGCAATCTCAGGTCCACCTTTCATTGTACCTTTGTAGACGACACTATCCGGTGAGGATCCGATTATGTTGCTGAAATCTTCACAAGCAACCTCAAGCTCTTGTCTGTTATACCTCCTGACATCTTTCAACATCTCCGAGTCTGCACATTGATTAGTGTTAAGTATGATCAAATTAGCCATACAAATACTATTAGTAGAGTAGTAGCACCGACACCTCTCAAAAAGGTGTGTTTGTGTCTGAAACCGAGACTGACACTTGTGATTGCGTTTAATTTATTAATTTTTTTCAAATTATTACCAGTGTCATGTTTTTGGTGTCTGTGCTTCATAGGTAGTAAATACACGGTAGCAATCAGAGAAAGTGAGAAACCGACCTATATATACTGCGATTTGCTCTTTCTCGCTTGCGGATTTCTTCCAAGGAATAATGATGGATGCTTTTTTGTTACACCTCTGGACAGCAGTGAAAATTCCAATCAGAAGGAGAGAACCAACCATGGTCCCAGTCGCTATTTCTATAGCCAAAAGCCAAGCAGGTTTTGAACCTCCTTGATGCTTTGGTATATGTTCGGCTTTCGATTGGTGCTTTGGTTTCACTACTGGATGACCTTGAGCAGGTGAAGCTCCAGCTATGAAACAATAACTCATTGTTAGGTGTAAAACAAACTAGGATCCGCAAAACAAAATTTATGATGTCATACGTACCACATTGAACTTTCGTCCGCTGTTTTACGTCTTTGACACGGAGGCAATTCCCTTGAAAGCTAGTTCTGTAAGACGTATTTCGTGTTTTTTAAGTTCTGTAAGACTAGAATGGCAACACGCTATAAAGATTAACATAAAAAGTACCTTGGAAGATACTCCAAACATTTCGGTATGCTACCAACTAAAAAGTTATATGAAAAATCCGCAACTTTAAGCGACGAACGACATAAGCCAGTCGAATTCGCATTTGATGCATACCTGAACATATAATGAGATCAATAGGATTCCGATTAACAAGATCCAGATTTTGATAGTGAATCCATAAGCAAACTATACGAATGAGAATTTATATCGTTTTACTCACATTTCATGCATATTCGAAGAAAAATTTGAAGTGCTAGTAGCAGGAACAGGCCCTTCAAGCTTATTTCTATCAAGCCGAAGTTCTTGAAGGTATTTCAAATTCGCAAGCTCCGAAGGTAACCTACCAGTCAAACCATTGGACTGCAGATTTCTACAAGAAATCAAAATCAAGTTGAATGCATAAGTCCATGATTAGACTTCAAAAGTAATTTTCTCTAATTAGAAAGAGCATAGCATAAGCATATTGATTTTCAATTACATTTTCACGATTTCGGTCAAATTTCCAATCTCACGAGGAATTGGTCCTGATAACTGGTTCTTTCCCAAATCCAACACCTTGAGAGATTTCAACGCGTTCAATTCTTTCGGTATTATTCCAATGAGATTGTTACCATGTAAGATCCTACATGAATAAGAACCACAAATTAGACACAACCATGAAACTAATCATGAATTGTAACATGTTTTCACTAATTTAATAAAGTTTTCTGGATGAGAATCATACAATTCTTGCAAGTAGGTTATTTTCCCGATTTCTGGCGCAAGAAACCCTCTTAGTAATGCCCCTGATATGTTTCTGCAAAGAAAGATCCCAATATGTAGATTAGAAATCTGCTAACTTATACGAAATAAGAGGCTAATTACTATTAGAGCCGTCTTTGAGGATGTGGGAGGTGGACTACAACACACGGCGTCAGTTAACCAACACAGAGTCTCCAAAAACTTAACATGACTCTGATCAAGACGTTTATCCAATGAGACTAATTACAATTTACAACCTCTAAGAAAGGTGCTAAATGAATGAACCAAATGAATCTTACAGCTTGATGACATGATCTCGAATTCCGGTGCACGAAACTCCATTCCAATCACAAGGATCTGAATCCAAAGCATTCCAATTGGACAAAACCTTATGTGGATCTTCATACACAGCTTCTTTGAAGGCTTTAAGCGCCCAAACTAAGCAAAAAAACAAAAGATAACACAATTCTTCATTACCATAATTCCCAAGTTTCACTCTAAAATGAAAAGCAATTAATTAATCTCAAAACTTCCAAATTCACACAAGAAACAAAATCACATTTCTTGCATAAAGAGATTAACAAAGTGAAAAGTCAAGATCTGAGAGAGAAAAAGAATACTCTAGCAACATGTAGTACCTTCATTTGAGGCCACCATGGCAGAAGACACAAAAGAGAACATAGAAACCAAACCCATAAACAAAAATGAAGCACCCAACTTCATTTTTTTCCTTGTTAATTCAGAAGCTTCAATCTAAGCAAAACTCAGCAGACAAAAACTAAAATCCTAGAATTTGGACGAATTTTTCTACCTTAAAAAAATAAAACCAGACACAAAAATTGAACCAACACAAATGTTCTAAAAAAACAAACAACCATAATATGAATGAAAAAAATGAAAGATAAAACTAGTGAAACAATAAGAGTTTTAAATGGTAGACTTGAAAGTGAAAAGTGTTAGTGAGAGAAAGTAGAGAGAGAAGCAAATAGTGAAAGACATTGACAGTGCACTAGATTAAAGTTTGAAGACAACCCAGAAGAGAATGAAACTTGGATTGAAAGAGAGTTTATCCAAGATTGGATTTTGATAGGACTAGGCTAAAAAAAAGTGACCTTTTTTATTTCTAATTGTGTAAAAAAATGGCGGTTTTTGGATTTTTTTGTTGCAAAAATTACTTCATTTTCACTTCAAGTACTTCTTTTTTAGTAATGATTGCAGTTCCAGAAACAAATGAGAAGTTTCTGTTATGTGTGTTTCTTAAAAATGAATACAGATAGTATTTCTTATATGTATATATTTTTTATTTAGAAAAATAAATAAAAAATTGATACATTTATACATAAATATACTTTAGGAACATTTATAAATAGAATAAATACATTAAATAGACTATATGTTTATCCATAAATTACAAAATGGAAATTATAAAAAGGGGCTGGTACATTTTAGAAATAATAAATTCTTATTAAATGATAGTATAAACTATTTTATATTATAAGTGTATATCCGTTAAGCTTTAATAATAATTATATCTTAAATTTTTTTCATAAAAAAATGTATTTAAAAAAAAAATTTAGCTAAATTAAATTTCAAAAATTCACCAAGACTCAAAATTGTTGCGATTACAAAGATTTTTATTGATTATTCACTAAAAAAATCTCTCACGTTAATGTTAGAAATTAAACTCATGATCTTTTACATAGATCAATTTCTTACCAATTAATTTACGTTTTTACTGCTAATGTATTTGAAAGCGTCCAAGGCTACATTACTCAAAATTGTAGTTAAATAAAATTTTATATTTGTCACAGTTAAATTGTTTTAAACTAAAAATAGTGCACGGACTATGAAAATGATTTTATAATATAATTTAATAAAAATTTATTAATCTATCATATTACACTAATTATATATATATTTTTATTTATTTATTTTATCATAATTAAAAACGGTAACTAATTTTTAAAAGAATTTGAGACAGTTTATTCTTGACTTTTATAAAGAGTTGGATGATCCTATATGTACAAGATGTTATTGCAGAGTAAAACTAAAATTAAATGAATATCATTAAATAAAGTAGAACAAATTACATTTTACTTATATTTTTTATTCTTTATATCAAAATTAGAAGTATTATTAAGATGATTGAACTTAAGTAATTAATGAATTTTGACTAAAGTCCAATTATTCAATTGAATGAATTTGAATTCTAATAAAGTTTGAATTCCACAGTTACAGTTGTTCTCCATATAATTAAATTCTAAAATCATTATTAAAACTATTGTCATGCGTCAATCATGCTTCTGGTCTTCATGTATAAAATTCTTCACCCTACCCCACCTTTCTCCTCTAAATATTTTTCTTTTATTTGACAATTTCAAATTGTGTTTTTAATTTTTTTTTTTTTACCAATTGTTTTCAATAGCCACCAGTATCACGTAGAAGTATTTTATTTTCATGCATCTGCGTACTGAATTTAACTTATTAATATATTATCGTATGTTTCATGTTTATGTCCAAATAGATGACTCCAAAAATATAATAATTTAAAAATAAATATTACTTGACTCTAGTCTTCAAATGTAAATTTTACCTATAATAATAATAAATAATGTCACATCAAAGTATTCAAATTCAAGAATCACCACATTTCTAAAATAAATTTTTACCTAACCAATGCGTCAGATTCAAGAATTAATCTTAGGGTTGGTGATAGGACTAAAAAAAGCTATAAATGGAGAAGACTATTTCTTCATACGCATATGCTATAGGTATATATAAAAAAGACATGCCATAATGATATTTAGATAAGAAGTTATGTCTTCTGGTCTAAGCCTTAAGTTTTTAAAAGTAATTTGTTATAAAATATGTGTTATAAACATTTTTAAAAAGTGATTAGATTTTTTTAAGTGTATTTGTGATAAAAGTCAGCTATTGATTAGCTATCAAGTATATGTGTTGAAGATCAAAGACAGGGTGGGTCAACAATTGGGACAAGTTTTAAAATTATAGAGAGGTGTTTTGTTTTTGTAGTAGCTTTATGTCAAAGTGTTCCATCCACATCCATTTTCTAATTTAGGGGTAGGTTCCTTGGACTTGCCATCAAGAATCCTCACATGTGCTTTCTTTCATGATAAAAAGGGCCACACATGCTTTTCTTTATTCAAATATTTATATTCTCCTTGCACAAAAAAGATAAATCCTTGTGTGTACCATATTCTTTGTTGATTTTAGGTTTCTTCATTCAATTGGTTTGCTCTCTCAATCTCCAATTTTCAAACTTTACAATAAGAATAAACTTTGTCCATTATTTTTTTAAACTTTTTTTAACTCGTTCAAATAATTTTAAGTACAACTTTTTTTTAAAGAATTAGACCAAGATAAGAAACACTTAAGGAAATGTAAAGTAGGATAAAAATGCGAGTATAGAAGATTGTATGGTTGAATGTGTTTGAAATAAACATTACTACAGAAAATATATACAATAACAGTTGGAAAAGAGATAACATCACACGTGATCTGTCTTTATTACGTAGGATGTGGTTGTATATGCACTACTTACAATCACGGTCTTATAACCATTGTGGAAATCCTGAAAGCGCACTATATATGATCACAGTTGCTATAAGTAACCGTTGTAATATATTAAAGCTTCTAGATTCGATTTTCGGCAGCACATCTTTTGGTGAAATATATTCTAAACAACACTCACTATACAACCACAATTATATATTACAACCGTCGTTAAATTATATATATTTTTTAAATAATTTTTCTGCATTTTAAAATTTTTTCATTTTTAACCTGTATTTTTTTTGAACATATCAGAACAGAAACAACAATTATATCATAATGAAGAATTGTATTGTATTACATCAAATCCATACATTAGATTAAGAACCAAACATTTTATATATATATATATATATATATATATATATATATATATATATATATATATATATATATATATATATATATATATATATATATATATATATATATATATATATATATATATATATATATATATATATATATATATATATATATATATATATATATATATATATATATATTACATCAAAAGAAATGTGTGATTTTGGGTCGAACGCTAGCTCTGTCGAGGAATAGCTTTCATGTGTTTCATCAGGAGACAAACATGAAATCGAAGCTGTGTCACATGCTGATGTCGAAGGGTTACATACTGTAGTCAAAGCTAGTTCTAGTATGTAATGTTGAAATATATTGTTGACTTATTATGTCGAATTAGGCATTGTGTTAATGATCCAATTATTTAGTTAGTTTGTATTGTAAGTTAGCTAATTAGTCTATAAATAGGCTAGATCACTCAGGTTGTTTAGTGAGGCCAATTGTTATTCATTTATAATCTATTGTGAATAGGATGCCTTGAAACAAAATATAAACGGTTTCTTTATAGACAAGAAACACACAAGGGTTAGGGTTAACAAAGAAAACAAGGGAAAACAACAAGGATTGGTTATAAACTGCTATTCTTTCCTTTCTCTATCAAACAAGATTACAAGTATAAAAGAATAGAAAATAACCTCTCTCTCTTAAATTAGGATTTTATCTTCCTATTTTTCCTTTTCCAAGTTGTGAGACTAGCATGCTATTTATAAGAAAACTAAGACACTAACCTAATGAGTTTTTTTAACAATTACTCATTACAAGCTAACTTAGGGTACAAGCTAACTTAAACAATTGGGCTTACAAGCAAGGCCCAATTCAACATGCTAACAAACCTAGCAATATTGACTAATGCATGTTAGAGCAAACTTCGACTATAACACGCATTACTCCGACAACATACTATAGTTCGATCCAACATCTCATAAATCTCCACCTCGGATCTAACTCTATAACATCAAGAAACTAGATTTCTTCATGTAGCTTTATCAACTGCATATAGTTGAAAAACTTGCAATTGGGCAACGTCTTGGTGATCATATCAGCAACATTATGATTTGTCGAAACCTTCAGCACTTGGACTTCTTCACACTCGATTACCCCTCTGACAAAATGCAGCCTCACATCAATATGCTTGGTTCGCTTATGATAGGCTGAATTCTTCGACAAGTGTATTGCACTTTGACTATCACATTTAACAGTGATAACTCGACCTTGAAGTTTAAGCTCTTTTGCAAAACCTTCAAGCCACAACGCTTCCTTCACAGCTTAAGTTAGGGAGATATATTCCACTTCAGTGGTTGATAATGCAACGACCTTCTAAAGTGTAGCTTTCCAACTGATTGATGTCCCAAACATAGTGAACACATATCCAGAATAGATTTTCTGGGATCCATACAACCTGCATAATCAAAGTCGACATATCCTTGAATTGCTGCTTTACTATCTTCACCCAAGGCTCCATTCATGTACCTTAGAATCCACTTCAATGCTTTCCAGTGAGCCTTTCCAAAATTCACCATGTACCTGCTTACAAGACTTACTGCATATGTTCTGTCGGGTCTAGTACATACCATATCATACATCAAAGAACCCACAATATTAGCATATGGAATGCTATTCATATAAGCTATTTCGACATCAGTACTGAGACACTGATCTATACTCAGTTTGAATTGAGGGTTTTTCGGAGTCACAACAGGCTTTGAATTCGACATGCCAAACTTTTCGAGAATCTTCCATAGGTATGCCTCTTGAGATAAGCATAACTTCAAATGATTTCTATCTCTTCA